GATTTGGGAAGGACAACGTGAGACAGCTGTCTGAGGGTAATGGGGTGAAGCTGATGACAAGGAGACAAAAGTGACAGCTAAAAAAAATACACTGGGAGCCACCTCTGTAAGTAAAAAGGACTGTTCACACATTGCACTCCCAATTCATTTATCTACAATAACGAGCTTCAGGCCCAAGTAGGTGAGATTGCTGGAGAAGTTCCTGAGTGTTCCCATCTCCCACCAAGGGCAGCAGGAGCAAATGGGACTCGAAAGTGACACAAAAGGTATGGAAGAGCCTGGACACCAGCAGAGCAACCAGGTCAGCTTGATGGAAAAAGAGAAAAGCCATCAGAAAAAACAGGAAAGCATTTCTTTTTTCTGAAGGCTACAACCCATAAATGGTCTTCCAATGGCATGGAAGCAAGGTCGTTTTCATAATACTAGCCAGTCACAAGTATAGGGTTTTTTAAGGTTTTCTAGTCTAACATACCCAGAAAGTGAGATTTAAAATTTACTCCTCTCCAAACAATTGATTCTGTGTCTTACACACCACTCATGTCCCTCTTACACAGCTTAGCCATGGCTGGGGCTTGAGCTGCCACCCCAACACCCGCAGCAAACATCAAATGATACACATATAACATTACTGAAACTTACTGGGAGCCTCCATTCCCTTCACGTTGCACAAACCTGGTCTACTGTATCTACGATGCATTCATCAAGCTTGCAAACCCAGGTGGGAGTTTGCCATGCCATATTTAGTAAAAATGTCTTATGATTTTGTATCATGATACTGGATTTAGAGGAGCTGACAGAGAGCGGAATGCCACTTCCAAAGCAATTCCTTTGTTTTCTACCCAAGCTTACTACACTGCAACTCAAATCCCATCTAACTTCGCTACCAGCAAAGCAAGAAGGGGTATGTTAATGCATTCCTCAAGGCAAGCGTCTTTCATAAGTGACCTGCATTTTTCTACAGCTTTTTTACTATATGAATGACATACAGGAAGAGGCCCTTTCTGCACTCACCGTGGTTTGAGTGTCTCACGCAGTCCCCCAGCACGGCGCTGAACTGCTTCTGAGCTTCTGGCTCCGGGAAGCAATAATAGCTGTGTCGGGTGAAGGGCTGCCACAGGTAAACTGGGAACTCCTTTGGCAGCTGGACGAAGGCTTGAGCAACCTCCTTCTCACTCGACCCTACACAAAACACACAGCTCCATTTGAAATCTGCAGGTTTCTTGGGACGCTTGGCTCTTTTCCTCTGCCATGACAGAGAGAACTGTTAAAACAACAGGCCTTTGCTAGCAGGGAAGCATGAGACACGAAAAAATCAAGTCTCCTGCTAGATCCAAGTGACTGGGCCCAGAGCAGGGAAACACCACCGAGACTGGCAAACTCAGCAGGCACCAACGTCCTCTCTACATCATACCATAGCAACCTGACGTCCTCTCGTTTTGTATTCATGGTGGCCATAAACTATTCCACATTTTTGGTAAAATTTCAAAGAAACAGTTTAATTGGATTGCAACTGCTAGGAAAAAGGTTTTCATGACAAATAAGTAAGTTAGTGGGCAACTCTGGTCTCTTCCACAGAGAACATACAGGAACATATGGTCTTCCGTATAGGAGCAAACTGCATTAAGCCATGGAGGAACAGCAGCGGTTCTCCTGCCTCCAGGATTTCCAAACTGCTGGGTGGATACCTCCCAGCAGTCATAACTTTAAGTAGTATGAGACAGGACTTCAAAAACAACCCTTGTCTACGTGTTGCCCTTATCCTGTCCCTTAAGTGGCACCCAGTTTTGCAAATCTGACTGTGCAACATGAGTTCCGCTTCCTTAAAGCCCAAATTTTCTCCATCTTCATGGAGTGGGGCAGGGGTGGGCTGGACCACAGCAGTTCCTGTCCCAGAATCAACAAATTCAGCAGCTGCAACCTTCCTGCCCTCTCTGTAGGACTTATTATCAACTGTGAGTCAACACAGGCAGCTGGCATCTAAAAATGGAAACAAATAAACCAGGGATACTAACAAAGCCCAGGAACAATGGTGGTGTGGTTCCTGCCCCGCTTCTGCACAGCTTCCAGCAGCTTTGTGCAGGGATGTTGGGAAAAAAGGGGAGCCAGCATTTCTATGAAAGTTAGCTTATAGCATCTTATGTGTATGTCCACTCTGGAGCCATGTTTTGACTTAGAAAATGGGCTGCATAATCTTCCTTTACCCTGGTTTAAAGACCCAGAAGAGGTCTTTGTGAGGAACAGAGCCTGGGGTTTGGCAGTTCAGCTTTGAGGATGGCTTACCAAGGGGATCTGGAAAATGTTTATCAGACAGCAAATTGTAATCTTCTTCTGAAGTCAGTACTTTGCCTCCTGCAGGAAGAACATGATATTTAGGGCTGGCTCCTTTCTGGTAGGCCTGGAAAATCCAGAGAGAGGGAGTCAAAACAGAGATTTAAGGAGAGGGAAAACATAAAATACACAACTCATTTACAAAGCCAATGCACAGGGTTATTCCCCAAAAGGAATTTTTTTTTGTCAGACTGAATTTTGGATATATTTCCTGGACATGTCAAATCTAAAGCATGGTTAAATGTAAAAAACATATTAAAAAATATCCTCCCAGTCCTTGTCAAGACATGGTGAAGACTCAAGGACAGAAGGAAGGGGAAAAGGATGGGATTTTCTTCTAAGTCCTATTTGTTTGATTTGTCAGTGAAGACTGGTTTGACTACAGCAGCTGCCAAATGGAAAGCTTCACTGCAGTCAACCCAAAGCCACACAAAAATTGCAAATTAAAACCCAACTGCGGAAGCACGAGGATGCATTACAATGACATACAGATGAGAAGCGTTCTGTGATGTGCAAAGGAAGGTTCAAAGCACTGTTAAAATGATTTGCTAATTCTTGCAAACACATGTGGCCAACGCAAGGCGCTTTACTGTACCCTCAGCCATCCCCATGGAGCTTCCAGCCAGCTCCGCAAGAGCGAAGCCACCTCACTGAGGACATTTCATGTAGCATTGCTAAAACAAAGGCGGCAGCAGTGGGCAAGTCAATATCAGTTTCTTTGGGAGTGTAGTATTTACCTCTTTAGTCTCAAAGCAATCCACAGTGTAGTCGTTTTTGATAACGACGTATCTGTCTTTCCACTTCTTCAGATCCTCGGCAAAATGCAGCAGTTCTGCCTCGTATAAGATGGTCCCAGCTTCTGCTGGGGGCTACGAAGACAATTTTCTAGATTTGAAATTACTCTGGTTATTGATCATTTTGAAGCTTTTATTTCTACAGGGGCTTTTGAGTCTTCAAATGCTATTTGCAGTCATAAACATCTCTCTGATTTGGGCAGATACTACAAACACAATCAACTTCTTGTAGCCCGAGGTGAGGAGGCAGCAGAGGAGCTCTGCCTTCCAAAAATACTTTGAGATTTCTGAGACAAAACTGTTCTTATTTACCTTTTGGTTGGCATGCTGAATGCAAGATGACTTGTAGTTCATTACCTCCCATTTTCCACTACATAACATCAATGAAAACATTTCACTGATGCAGCAAAGAGCTTTATTATAAAATAGTAAATTATTTCCCACTTCTTTGTAACACTTTTGCACCTGTGCTCTTGTAACTGACACGCACCTTTCTGAAAGACATAGCTTTTCCATTATCTCACCTTCTACATCCCACCCCATTGCTTTACCCTATCCATTTCAAGAGCATCAGAAATCCGTGATTTCTAATAGGGCTGAAAAATTTAGATTTGTATCTTCTTAATACTGAAGGCTGGTTTCTGCCTCTAATAAAGAGACATTTGTGTCTCTTTTTATCTCTCCTCCTCTAATAAAAAACAGCTCTCCATAGCTCACTTCACAGAGGGGATTATTGTCATCTTCTTTATGGAACTCTGTAGCCATGGCCAACATGGTTAATTAAGTTTCCTACATAAATTTCTGCCCTGAATGTACAATCTCTGACCCAAGATTCTTGCAAAGCCTCACAATCCACAGGAAACAACTAGTTTTGTCCAAATGTCCAACTCCACCTTGATGAAATGTGTGCTTTCTACCAGAAACTTGTGTCATGGTTCTTCTCATGTTACCATGAGACAACCAAACAAGACCAAAACAAAGATAAATTTTCAAAAATAAACTTTAAACCTGCACCCAAATGCAACCTTGCCATCTAAAACCTAACTGAACCAAACCCAACATCCGCACTTGCAACACTATCACATATACTTCCATTACATATAAAAAAGTGCACATGTAAAATGTCCTAGATACACATTTATTATGTATTCAACTATCCAACGCAAGACGCTGAAAGAGCACTTCTGTACTGTGATTGTATATATAGAAACATTTAAAAAACTTTAAAAATACTTTGGGTTTGATTTTTAGAAGCTTTGAGTATGTGTACCGCCTATTAACTGTACTTGGGGGCATTCAACACTGGGAAAAACAAGAAAACCGAGCCCAGTCGGTAGCTCATACACTTCCAGCTCATGTTTTTCATGCATTACAACTACTAAATGTGTGATTTAAATAGTTAACACATTAAGTATTTCATGCGGGAGAGCAGAGCTGTATAGCAGCTTGAGGATGGGGAAGGGCTCACGTGCGCTCCTACCTTGGTTTTCAGGAACCGGGACTGGGAATCCCGGTGCTGCTCCAGCTCATCCTGCACATGCTTGCAGAAAGCCACTGCATACTGGCGTCTGTAGTGCGGGCTGAAGTTTTTGATGACAGCTTCTGTTTTTCCTGAAGCAGAAATAGAGATTTAATTGTATTTAATGCACATGGCTTCAGAAACTGTAATGCAGAGCAAAAGCAGTTATTACCAGTGACCCAAAATACTGCCAAAGCCTACCAACGGCCACTTGCTGCACAGCAGATCATGAAACCCTCAGAGACGCATTCAGCTGCTGTGGTAACTCCAGCACAGAGGGAATTTTTCCAGGTCTTAACGATACAGAGAAAACACTGGTTTTTGGACATTGTTGGCAAAACAGATCCCAAATCCATTTCTCTGTGAAAAGATGCTATCTGCCTCTCCCTAGGACATACTGCCACGGAGCTGTGGGTGTTCGAGAGCTGATAAGGTTTTCAAAGAAACATATATACAAGTGATACTGGCTAGTGTTTAGCTTTATTAGCCAATTTTATCACATAATCAGATTTTAAAGCTGACTCAAAGCTCCTACAATGGATGTTTTCCAGGGTTGGGCACTGCAGTGTCTTGTTTGTTTTAATGTAAACAGATACTCAGTCATGCCGCAATAAACACTAATCTTGTATTGTCTTGCTACAATCAAGATCTCATCAGTAGCAATAACAGCAATAAACACACTGACAGTCTCATTTCTGGGAATCTTAAAGCAATTTACAAGTAATTAACTCAGTAACCCTATAAAAGAAATGATAATTCTTTACAGACAGGGAAGCGAAGCTAAAAGTTAAAGCCGTGTGCACGTAGGTGACTCAAAGAGTCTGCAGCAATGCGAAAACCAAAACCTGGACTATCATCTAGACAGCATCCCAACCACCGTGGATACTGGAAAGATCTCTTTCTTCCTTGTATTAAGCAGCCCCATGACAAGGGTATATTCTGTGCATACAACAGGAAACACACATCAAGCAATTCTGATGCTTTCAAAATGTTATTTTGTTCTGCTTGGGGGGGGGAAATCAATTTTTCTGTGTAAGACAAAAAAAAAAAGGTAGCTCCCAAACTGTGATTTCTTCAAGCCCTTATTTACATGGGCTCCCAAACCAGGACTGGTGTTCAGCACTCCTCAAAGGCCAAACAGGGGAACTGGCGAGAAGCACCATGACATCCAGAGTCCTGGAAAAGCTGAACCACCAGCATCCTGTCATCATGTTCCCACATTGACAGATTCCTCCCAGCCACCCACCAGCACCACCACCAAAACCAATTCACTGGGAGTTTTCATGACACTTCTGTATTTCATACATTTCATAGTCCTTCTAAAGTAACCATGCAAAACTTCCTGGATTACCACTGAGTTTACTGCCTTTTTTCACCAAAAAAATTAGGTTTCAATTGTCAGTACAGTTCCCAGAATATTCATACCTTTTTTCATCTTAAAAAATTTAAAATACAGTTAAAGAAAGAGAAAGCCGTGGATCATTATGACAGCATATGCATGGGATTTTTCAGCAGAAAGTGCATGGGATGCTCTGGTGTAGAAGATGCTATGGGCCAAGATTTACCAGTTCTGGCTACCTTATTTCCATTTAAGAAACCCAAATCTGTGTGGCTGACACTGCCATGGAAAAATAGCTAGTTTGCTAAAGAGTTCATAGAGAAGGGCAACGCCAAAAAGATTCTCCAAGGTGCTTATTTCAGGTCCAGCTCTGATTTGCTCCTAATGTGGGACATTACCAGGCTGTTCAAGGTAATTTCATCAATTCAGATAGCTGCTGTATTTAATTACTCCATAATTACTCCATAACTTCCTGATAATTACATTTACATCACTGTAGTTACGTGGACATGCATGCAAAAGAAAAAACTCTACAACAGCTCCTCTGCTTCTGCAATTCTATTTTCCGTTTGACGCACCTCCCAATTTTACGGACCATATTGACACAGCCTTTCATTCCAGCCACTCTCGAGTAACCAGCTGAAGCTTTCTCCTTCTTAAGCATCAGCGGGATAGCTGCCTTCAACTAAACTGAAAGCCCCTTCTGCCCCACTCCTGCCCCTTTCCAACCACATACCACCACTGGATTACAAACCCACCACCTCTTCCAGCCCTACCCAGGTGAGCGGAGAAGTCGGCGCGGCCGACTGCTGCGTTTGCAGAGTCATTACACAAAGCTGGAGGGATGTCAGGAGGCCAGGGGAATTTTTCAGGCATGTCAGTTTTTCACAGATTTACTTGTGGGACAGCACCAGGTGATAATCTGGACTCCAACCTTCCAGTTTTAAGACACCAGATTTTTTGAGGTCTACTGATTATAGGATGTGCTTGCATATAATAGCAG